AGTGACTATGAATTCATTACATTTCAGTGAAGTCCATCCCTTTGTGGGACAGCTGAAATTTCTAGGAAATTCTTCATAACACTATGATTAAGCTAAAATCTGCCTTCCTATGTTTCCTATAACAAATGTTACATTTGGGGGCAGCTAGGTGGCGTAGTGGATAGAGCTCCAGTCTTGGAGTCAGGAGGACCCGAGTTCAAATGTGACCTCAGATACTTGACACTAGCTGTGTGACCCTGGGCGAGTCACTTAATCCCGACTGCCTAACAAAGGAAAAAAAAAGTTACATTTGATACTATATTTCCATAACTACAGAATTACACTGTATTTCACATAGCACTTTTTAGGTTGACAAAGCACTTTCTCCACAACAATCCTATGAGGCAGGCAAAGCAAGTCATCTCCATCTTGCAGATGAGGAAGAAGGGTTTAAAGATTCATCATGGTCATACAGCTGGTTAAATGTTGGAGGCAAGATTCAAATCCAGTTCTCTTGACTCTACCTCCTGCATTCTTCTCATTCTTTCGTCAAATATGACATTCAAGACCAGACACACTACTCTAGATAATGGTCTGAACAAGGTAGAAGATAGAGCAAGGTCACCTATGATGTTCTAGATCCTGTGTTTCCATAATTACATGCTGGCTACAATCTATAATAACTTCCTGTATTCGCTATGGTGTTACAGCAGCGCCTTGACCATTCTTTTCATCTAAGTCATTCTTATCACTTGACACGTAGCTTCAGAAGGAGGCTTATGATACTCACAGTTGACATCCTGAGAGTACAAAGCACTTCACATTTCCTCATATGATCTTCACAACCCTGTGAGTTAGGTTATGTATTATTATTCCCATTTTATAGATGAGAAACCTGTGGTTAAGCTTGGGGCCTATAAGGGGCAGAGTTGAGATTTTCCACAGGACCATGAGGAAAGTGGTCAGATCAAAGGAAGCCAAAGGGTGCCAAGTTCTTGTTCCACCACAGCAGAGATCTATTATATAACGAACCTTCCAAAGCAGGGGGCAATGAATAGGGAGTGGGACCAATTGAAGCCAGAGGATAATCTCCAAACGAGTGGCGAGTCCCATTGCCTGCGTTGTGAGATCAGAGACCTTCCTGCATTCCACACATGCTCTTTTCTTCTCTCCAAGGGACGAAGTGGTCTGGGCCGAGATCCAGAAGCAGCTTCAAGAGTTCACCCAAAACACTCAGGTAGTAGATGTTTCAAAAAGAAGACTCCAGGGTTGATCCAGTTATTCCTTAGCCTAACAATCTTCCTAATCCTCTACTCACCATCCACCATCTAGGAGCCAGTCCAAGGGGTGAAGGAGTTAGGAATTCAGATCAAAGCTGCTTCTTCCTCTTGAGAAAGGGCAGAAAAGCTAGGGTTCCCACGTCAGATCCTTGGACACAAGTCTCACTGCAGCCTGGGATGCCACCCTCTGTCAGGGAGATATGCTAAGGCTATACCTGACCTCCAGTACAGATGATGGGTATGACCTGGAAATAGTTCTCTACTGTCCCAAGATTGAGACTTACTTCTTTAGTTCTGTTCTGACTAGAGCTAAATGACGGTTTCATAAAAGCTTACCATGAGGCCATCTAGCTTTCTTCCCACTTAAAGCAGGAATAGGCAACCATATTGCCTCTGCTTGAGCACCTCCAATAAAAAGGAGCCCGTAAGGCACCAGTCCATTTCTAGGCAGTTTTTTTGTTTTTTTTATCAAAGTTCCTTCTTATATTGAGCTAAAACCTGTCTCCAACTTCCCTCTATTGATTCTAGTTTTGCCCAATGAAGCTGAACAAACCAATCCCTCTTCCCCCTAAGGGCCTTTCAGATATGTAAAGATTCTGATTATAGTTGGGATTTGGGAGATCCATTCCCAATCATCTCACATTTAATTCTAAGTAGTTTATCATTCATTACCCTGCTGAGATCACTTGCTAAGAAAAGGATGAGCCAAGTTTGACTGGGCAGAGGGTGGAGCAAGGAAAGAAGCTGCTGCCCCGCCAACTCTGAGGAGTCATTCTGTTTTGGGGAGGTCAGTACTTGAATCAGCAGGGAAAGAACAGTTTGAAGGTGACAATGCGCTTTCTCTGCTAAATAAGACCCTAGCAATAGCAACAGCACTGTTGCTGTTGTTTTGTCACTCATGTCCAACTCTTTATGACCCCTACTGTCCATAGGGTTTTCTTGCAAATACTAAGTAGTCTGCCATTTCCTTTCCCAGAGGTTAAATGATTTGCCTAGGGTTCATACAGCTAGCATGAGGTTACATGTGAATCCAGGTCTTCCTGACTCTAGGCCCAGGGCTCTACCTACTGAGCCACCTAGCTACCCACCAACAGCATTAGTTATTAGCAATTGCCACATTAAAAGCACCACTACTGATTAGCTGGATTATGTCCACAGCACAAAGAGGATGGTGTGGGGGAGGTTCAAACCCACTCAATAAGCCTATATTATCTAATATGTGCCAACCCCAGAGTTCCTGCTCTCAAGGTGTTTGAAGCTAATAGCTTGGGTTAGGGGAGGGGGAGAGAAAGGAAAGAGGTGGGGGGAAGAGGCAGGCAAGAGGAGGAAAAGACATGTATACCAACAGTTCACTCTCCCTTTTATCACAAAGGAGAGGTCTGGATTAAGTCCTATAAGAAATTTTGAGGGTGGAGAGATAATTTTGATTAGTGGGATTGTTTATAAAGCATTGAAATGGGAGAGGGCAGGGCAAAAATAGGGAATAGAAGGGACAGCTAGGTGGCACAGTAGATAGAGCTCCAGCCTTGGAGTCAGGAGGACCTAAGTTCAAATCCAGCCTCAGACACCTGAAACTTACTAGCTGTGTGACCCTGGGCAAGTCACTTAACCACAACTGCCTAAGCAAAAAAAATTTTTAAAAAAATAGAAGGTAGTTTAATTTGGCAGGAATAGAGGTACATGAAAGGAAGTTAACATGAAATAAGGCTAGAAAGATAAGCTAGAGCCAGTGTATAAAATATTTTCAATATGAAGACTAGAAGAAGCAGATTAGAGTAGGGGAATGAGTCCTCAGCTTGAAGTCAGGAAGCCATGTGGTCTGAGTCCTGGCTTAGACACTTACTAGTTATATGACCCTGGAAAGACACTCAATCTTTCCCAAGCTGTTTCCTCATCTGTAAAATGGGGACAATAGCACCTACCTCACAAAGTTGTTGCATCAAATGAGGCAATATGTGCAAAATGCCCTGCAATCAACTTTATTTTGCAATCATAACACACAAAGATCAGTTGAAATTACTGTAAACAATTAGCCTGGAAAAGAGAAAATAGCAGGGGACATTACCACTGGCTTCTAATATCTGAAAGACTATCATGTGCAAGAAGAGATTAGGCTTGTTTTCCTTGATCCCACAGGGAGGAACTAGAACTAGTTGGTGAAATGTAAGAAACAGGACCTAACAGCTATAACTATTAAAATATGGAATGGGCTACCTCTTTAGATAGCGAGTTTGAATTTCCCATCACAACAAGTGTCCAAACTAAGTTCAATGGTCAATTGTCAGGCATGTTGTAGAGGGGCATCTTGCTTTAGATAGAATTTGCACCAGAGGACCTTTGAGATCCTTTCCATCATTGAGATTCTGTGAGCCTGTTTTCTCTCCTTGTTACACTCAGAGGGAGCTAGAGAAAGAGAGGAGCCATTTGTGGAGCCGGGCCTTGGTGGCAGAAGGACAACTCTCACAACTCCAAGAGTATGTGGATAAACACCTAGGCAGGTGAGCCAAGGTGGAGCTGCCCCAGGGGAGCCCAGCACTATGGCAATATGGCTCTGCTGGGATAGCAAGGCCACTCTCCCCATCTGACCCCTTAAGAACCCTCAGACTTTTATCACCTCACCTCCCAAAAGCCACCTTCATTATTCTACTTGACGAGGCACAAGTATGTAGCTGTTACTCTGGGACCTTTATCTCAGGTTATTCACTGCACTCAACAGCCCTTCTGTCCCCACCTCTTCCACAAAAGGAGTAGAGAGTAATAACCTTCCTTTTCAAAATACCAGGCAACCAATAGCCTAGTGCTAGCCCCATCAAAACCAGGACCCAGACCTCCTGGGGATTGTACGTTCTCTTTCCCTTACCCTTCCCTGCCTCTCTTGGCAGAAGCAAGTAGAGAAGAGTATCCTGGTGGTGAGGGTACTGTTACCTAGAAATTTAAAGTCACCTAAGAACTAGGATGATGCCATTGCGATAGATGCTAATCCCAGCAGCAACATAAGACAAATGTGAATGGTCAAAGCTGGCAATGTTCAGAGGCCTAGTCAATCTCTGAGGGAAAATGACCCCTTGAGGGAAGGCTCAGAGCTCCCAGGAGGGGTTCAAAGGGATAAAGACCTGACCTAGAGCAAAACTGTCTTCCCCAACCCTCTCTACAGGTACAAGCAGGAGATCTTGAGGCTGAGGAAGCTCCTGGAAAATGAGTCCTCATAGGCGGCTGAAGCCAGTTTCCTTAAATCCCCAGAGCCAAAGCACCACCAACAACTAGCTGTGCCTGCTCAGCCTACTCCCAAGAAACAGCTGGAGGCACTGGCCCTAAAAGCCTATGGGCAAGCAGCTCTACATGGATTTCTGGAGTATTAGGGATGGGAATGAACTCTAAATTTGCAGGTAGGAGGAGTCCAATCTTCTCAGAATTCTGTGCCTACCATTACTGTTAATGCCTTATGCCTCTCTACAGTGGTGCAGGAGCTTGAACTAGGCCATCACTGCCACACCAAAAGCAACCTGGAACAAGACTCCAAACTTTGGGGCCTTGTGTCCTGGAGTGCTCCGAGTTCTCTGTGCCCTGAAGCCCACTCACATTAAGGTATGACTGGGCTACCTAATTTGGTGTCTTTGAGGGGAAAAGATATCAGAGGAAATGAAATAACCTGGAGTTTAGAAAAAACTAGAGGGGGAAAAAAGTAAAATAGTTGTAAGTAGTAAGGAGGGGATCCTTAGTCCAGTGGTAGTCAAGAGAGCATCAAAATGAAAAAACTTTTATTGTGTTCAAATGTGAACTACAGGAAACAAATTTCAGTTCTTGACCTCGAGTTGCCAATGAAAATCTTCAGAAGTGATCCTGAACTTCCCTCAATGTTGGCTCCTAATAATTATCTGAGCCTCAAGTACAGTGACCAGGATCAGTTCTAGCTTGGAGCACATCCTGCTTCTCTGTGGTTAAGGGAGGTGAAATCCTTGGTTCAGACAAAGGCTGCTAAGGTACCCTTACGCATAAGGTAGAGTGCCCCTCTCACGAAGGGAGCTCTACTTCCCCAAAACCTAGACAGGTGTTCCCTGTAGAAAGGTAGTTTCCCTCATCTCCATGTTTTCCCGGATGAGTCCAATATCATAAGCCCAAACCTTGTCCAGGCCCTCACCAACTGTGGCTATTGGCTCCCAACTGGGAAGGGGGAATCGACCAGATACCACTCGGGCCTCGTTGGGCAATTCCGCTAGGAATTTGGTTTCCAGGAGAGGGAGCTGTGGAAAAAGGCCAAGTCAGAAGAGAAGTAACCTGCAAAGGGGATTTGGGGGGGTGGAGCAGGGAGGGAAGGGGTAGTGAGGAGACCTGGTAATAGGATAGACTGGTTTGAGGCACAGGGTCATAGGAGCTAGGAAAAAGCTGATCTGGCTTCAGCAGGCTGAAGTTCAAAGCTAGCAACTCTGTGGCTGGTCTGCCACCCTAGGGTCAAACAAGGTCTTCCAAAGGATCTTTAAATCTGGTTGCTACGCTTTCCTCCAAAGTGTTCCCATTCCATCTCACAGACATTTGAGATGTCTTTGGGGTTCCTAGCAACATCCAATGCCAGCCCATTTGGGAACAGCCTGCTGATTTTTCATGGGGACGGCTAGAGAAACAAGCAGACGGCTGTGAAGCCAAACAGATGGGGCACTGGCCCACAATGCAACAATTACTTCAGTTTGAATCATTCCCTAGCCCTGGGAATATTTTAGTTCAACAAATCCCATGGCCCTAGAGCCTCTGAAAGTGCTCAGACATACCACACCGGGAGCCAGGAAGACTGTGACGTTTTTGCAATCAGCCAGGTTCACCTGTAGAAGAGATAGGGCTGCTTAGGAGAGATGAGGCCAAGATGACAGCCACAAGGGACTGCTTTGTAAAGGTCTTCTACTTTTGTTAACACCTAGAAAAGGGAACCTTTGTGCTCTAACTAGGGAGCCCAGAAACCTCTAAACGTGTATATTTCATGTTCCCAGCAATCAAGATGGTTTCTTAACTCCAGGGGAACCAGGATATAGCAGGCTATTGGCCTAAGGCATCTTCCCTTGCTCTTCTTCCTCTGTTGATGGCCTCCAATTCCAAGGCCAAAGTTATGCTAAACCAATGATTGTTTGTAGCCTTTGAAAACATCTATCCGGCTCTGCTGTCCCTAAAACCTAAGGAAGTATCTTATTAGCAAGTGAGGAAATATCTTAAGTCATCCTAACTAGACTATATTTAACCAATTCAAAGAGGCCAAAGGTCTAGAGCCCTTAGGCCACAGAATCACTTAGCTAATAGGAAAGGAGCTCATTTCCAAGTGGCTGGGAAATCTAAGTTACTCCTCTAACACAGATCTGACTAAAGGTGCTAGATAAAATAAGATCATGGAAAGAGGATTAAACTGTGAGTCAGGAGACCTGGGTTAAAGTCCCAGCTTGCCACTAATTCACTGTGATCTTAGGGAAGTTATTTCCCCTCTCTGGGTTATCAGTTTCCTCCTCTATAAAATGAGGGGGGTGGGGGTGTAGCATATGGTCTCTAGGATCCTTTCCAGGTCTGAAAATTCTTAACTCTTCAAGATGAGTGGGAAGAGGAGAAGGATAAAATAGCTACCTCCTACAACTAGAATCACTAAGTCACTGGCCCTGGTCTCATAACTCTAGCTTTGAGCATGCTGGTTTCCTGGGCCAATCAGTACTTATGTGCCCCCCCCCCCCACCCCGGTTGCCCACCCCAACTAACTGGAATCCAGAACTAAGGAGAGAGAAGGAAGAGTATAGAGTTGCAATTACCTTCCAGAGATCCTCCTTCTGGTAGGAAACCTTTTGAGCACAACCAGCCCGCCACGCATAGAACCGGGAAAGCTGAAGAAGCCAGGGGTTCAGTTCATAACCCACAACAGGATAGAATCCTTGTCTGTATGCTGCCAAAACCTGTAGTACCAAACAACGAGCACTCCCTTCCATATCCCTCAAGGATCAGGGAAGGTGTTGGCTAGACAAGGCAAAGCTAGGTGTCATGAACTTGAACAAATATAGGAATGGGAAAAAGCAGCACGGAGGGAATGGTATCCAGAAGAGCCTCTCATCTGATGCAAGGAACCGGGACCTAAAAGATGGAACACAGGAAAAGAAACCCTATTCTTTAACCTGGCACTCAAGGCCTCTACATTCTAGCTCCAACTGACCTACTCGTTATTCTCTGAATTTGGACTACTTCAGTGCTTTGGCTGATACCCTTCCCTTTGCCTGGAATGTTCTTCCCCTTGACCTCAGCTCACTGAAATCCTACCCATCCCTCAAGACCCAATTCCAATGCCATCTCCTCCATGAACCTGTCCCTCTCTCATGAACTGGAAATGATCACTCTCTCTACAAATCTCTCATTACATTTTGTTTGTAGTTTTCTTATGAATTCATACTACTTCGTATTAGCTAATCCATGTGTACGTTTTATCCCTATACTCTAATAACATCCCCTGAAAACACTAGACTGGACTCTCCTTGAGCGTAGTGATGATTGTTTGTCTCTATATATCCCCCAGTGCTGGACTCTGCTAATAACAGGTAGTCAATAAATGTTTGCAGAATATGCTGAAATGAACTGAGAGTAGAATAGTCTGAAAGGAACTCTATGACCCAACCAGAAAGAACAGATAAGGGAAGGAGCAGAAAGGGGAGATTTTTTTTCCTTCTTACAATCCTGCCATCACCAGAGCCCAAGTCCACCATCTTGCCAGAGCGGCCCCGGAGAACATTCAGAACATTCTCTACCTGCTGCCTACTTGATGGGACATATGGCACCTGGAAAAAGACAGAAAGAGCACAAATTTTGAAGCTGCTCTTCAATTATCATCTTCCCCTTCTCCCCACCGAGGCCAACTTACCTGAAGCTTCAGGGGCACTCTGCGGAAACCAGGCATAAGGAACCCTGCCCAGAAGGTATAGGCAAATAAGCCAGTGCCAGCTGCCACTTGTAAGATACCCAGTCCCCCAAGGTGGCGCTCTTGTAGTTCTGCCATGGCCTCTCCAGGATCATCTTGGTCCATTTCTAGGGGAACAGTATGTAGAGGAGCTTCCAATACCCACCTTTTGGCCCCTATTCTCTATTGGTCCCTGGTTTTACCTCTTCTCCTCTCTCTTCCCAATCCCCCTCCGTTTCCCAAGTCTATACCCTGTTAGGCACAAACCCCCTCCTATTTGAGGAGGGACCTTATCAGTCAAAGCAAGGACAGTCAAGCCCCTGGCATACAAAAAGCTGAATAATCACACTGATAATGAATCACCCCACTCTACAGGCAAGCATATAAAAGGGAAAAAAGTGTGATTCAGAACCGCTGAGTTGGCCTGCAGAATCCATTGTATGACCAACTCCAGTATATTGGGTCAATCTGACAAAGAACAACCCACTTTGGAAGCCACTGGAGCTCAAAAGTAAGGGTATTAGCACAAGTTAAGACAGTGGTTCTTAAACTTTAAAGTACCAGAGCTATACTGACTTTTTGTACAACAGAAAACCCACTAAAATTTAAAAAAAAATCATCATTACCACTGGTGAAAAATAACTGCTTATTATTGCTATTAAAATAATTGACTTTATTATGAAATCAGAGGAATTAAGTATAAAACCCAAGTCAGCTCACTCCCAGCTCCTCAATACCCCCCAAACCATGCCCTTATAATCATCTACAAAGCCTAAGCCCTCTACTCCACACCATCTCCAACAGAAGACTGAGTAACGCAATGTGGATGTGCCTTACTTTAGGAAAAAGATTTTTACAAAATTATAGAAAGTCAGAGATGGAAGGGGCTTTCCCTTAAGAAAGCCTCTAATTCCACCCTCTATTTTGCAGTAGTCACTGACACCCAGCAAGAGGAAGAAATTTGCTCAAGTTCCCATATGAGTCAGTAGCAGAACCAGGTTTGCAAACCTGGGCTCCTTCCATCATGATGAAAATGTCTAAAATGAAATTCTATGATGCCAACTCTATTTTAAAATGCTATTTGGATTTGCTATTTAAAGGAACTGATGTGATGTATCCTTTTATAATCACCCCTTCCCTCAACCTTGTTTGTCCTTTATGCATGCAATTTTTAACACTTGCCTAAAGCAAGATTCAGAATCTGAGAGTTGGGTTAGACTATCTAGTCCAAAATATAACTTAATAAGAATCCCTTCTACAACAAATCAGACAAGTAAATTAACATTTTAAGTCATTCAGAGAAGACTCTCTAACCAAATCATGGTCATCAAGCCTTTCTTTGATGACCTACAGTGACAGGACCCACTACTTTGGAAGGCATCCTACTTCCATTTTTGTTAGAAAATTGTTTGCTAGTTTTTCCTTCCTAGAGATCCTAAATCAGGCTCTCTGATACTTTCACCTATTGCTTCTAGTTCTGTCCTCTGAGGTGGAGCAGAACAAGTCCATTCCTCCATTTGACAACCACTCAAATAGTTGAAGTCAGCTATCATGTCTCTCCATGTTTTCTCCAAATGACCCCCAATTCCTTTCATTGATCCCTATAAGGCGTGAATATGGGCCTTCATCAAAGGCCCACTTGGATGCTAGAAATGCTCCTTTAAATGTAGTGTCCCGAATGGAAATATTCCAAATGTAGTCTGGGGGGGCAAGGTAGATAGAATACATCGGGCCTATTTATCACATTCCCCCCTCCCCACCCCACCTCCTGGAGACCGTGCTACTTCCTTTTTTTGGGGGGGGGGGGTGAGGCAATCAGGTTAAGCGACTTGCCCAGGGTCACACAGCTAGTTAAGTATCATCTGTCTGAGGCCGTATTTGAACTCAGATCCTCCTAACTCCAGGGCCAGTGCTCCATCCACTAGAGACTGTGCCATTCTTAATGGAGCCTAAAATAATATTAACGGTGTTCCTTTTCTACAGCTCCACTCAGCCCTTCTATTTTTCCCAGAATGATCTAACTGTGGGGAAAGACACTCTGGGCTGAAAGGAAACCCCTATGCGAGCCTCCAACCCCATCCCTTCAAACCAGCCCCAGTAGAGAAGTCTCTCAATGAGTAAATGTGCTTGGGGGGAAGGGAAACGGGGGCAGGAGAAAGAGTAAGAAGTGTCAGTACAAAGTAGAAAAGTGTGCCTAGGGGCAGCTAGGTGGTGTAGTGGATAGAGCACCGGCCCTGAAGTCAGGAGCTGTGTGAACCTGGGCAAGTCATTTAACCCCATTTGCCTAAAAATAAAAAATAAAATAAAAAATAAAAATGTGCCTAATAATCCTTCCCCCTCCAGCGGACACTGGAGATCTGGGCGCTATGGGCCTCTTCATGGCACTTCCCTGCCTGGACCTCAGTTTCCCCATCTGCAAACTGGGGGTATAATACTGGATGATCTCTGACGCCTCTGGCAGCTCTCTATGGCTTACGGAGTGTGTGACCTTCCTCTCCCTGAGCCTCCGCATCTTTAAAGAGGGATGAGAATCCCCTCGCGAGGCTGGGGCCGCGCTGAGGCCCGGGGCACACACGCGCCCGCTCAGCCTGGGGAGACCTTCAGACGCCCGGCTCAGGCCTGCCCCCCGCACCTGCTCCTGCAGGCCCTTTCCTCCGCTTCAGGAGCCTGGGGGAGGGGGGAGGCCTGGGGCGGAGTCTCTCGGGCTGCAGCAGCGCCATCCGCCCTCCCTTCCAAGTTCCCACCTCATGAGGGGCGGCCCGGAATCGGACCCCGCTCCCCTTCACCACCGCTCCTGCGGGGGAGGATTCGGCCACAACACCCTCCGGAAGCAGCAGGCAACCCTGATTCTCCGTCCACTCTGTCCTGCCTGGATCCCAGGGCCCCCCCTCTCGAGTTCGGGACCAATCCCCTCAGCAGGGCCGCAGCCGTTGGGGCGAAGGGGGCGGGGGTGAGCAGAAGCACAGGCAGGTCGCCAACTCTCAACCGGAAGAGAGTGCGCTGCCGGGTCGTGCCGGCCAGGCGCGTGACCTCCTTGGGAAGTGGAGCGCGTGCGCAAGAGTCGAATGTGGAGGTCGAGAGAGCAGACTGGTCGCATCGTTCACGGTCACCTGGGAGACGACGAGGGGTGGGGCGGGGGCGGGCGGAGGCGAGGAGGGACGAGAAAGTGGAGCGCGTGCGCTCGCTCGGGGAACGCGCCCCTCCTTCCCCGGGCACCTAACGGTCAGCCAGCACGGGGAGGAGCACGTGGTCAGCCTTCCTTTATCTATGCGGCTGACCAGAGGAGGTTGGGGATACGGAAACCTGGGGAGTTAGTTATCTTCTGGTTAGCCCCAGACGTGCCCCGCCGGTTTGGCCCTTTCTTGACGTTATTAAACAGAGCTGTAAGAACTTTCCGGCTCATTTGATCTAATCAGTGCAAGACAAGCATTTATTAAACACCTCTTGGGTTCCAGGCACAGTCCTAAGTATTTGGAGCACAAAGACCGACGTGGGACAGCCCCTGCCCTCGAGGAGCTTACATTTTGTGGAGGAGGGGTGGTGGCACACAACAGGTACACACACAGGTATATAAGAAATATGCAAGAAATAAACGGGGTGGGACAGCACTAGGAGCTGGGAAAATCAGGAAAAGCTTCATGTAAGAGGTTGTTGGTTTAGCTAAACTTTGGACCACCACTCAAAAACGTTTCTGGAGTCCTTGTTGTGTATCAGGTACTATGCTAGGTGCTGGGGGTATAAATGCAAAAAGGGGACCACCCCAACCCCTTCCTATTATGAGTAAGGAAACCGAGTACCAGAGTATTCATTAAAAAGCCCAGGTCCCCTGCTCTAGACTTTACACCGCACTGACCACCTTACTGAGACAGGGAAGAGGGATACCCAAAACTCAGCCCCGGGTTTATCTGGAAGGCCCCCAGATTTTGAATCTTAAAAAATCATTGATTCAGTTAAAAAAAATAATAATGAATGTTGGGGTTCAGCAACCTAAAGCAAAGCAGCTCATTCCAGTTTTCGGTTCACAGTCCTGATTCAAGTGCCTGATTCCTGTACACACAAAGAGAGCTATTGTTGCTTGTGACCAAGCAGTTCTCCAGAAGAGTCCTTTCAGAATGGGGAGGACCGGGTGTTGAGGGAGGAAAACTCACCACCACCACTACACCACATCCCCCACACCAACACACACACACACACACACACACACACACACCACCACCACCACCACCCCGCTTGGTGCCTAATCTCAAAGGAAAAAACAGAGCTCATTATATATTAACATTCCACACCTCTGCTAGTTCCAAGTCCAGGGCTCCAAAGACAATACTTGAGAAAATTGCATGATTTTCCTCTATGTGGCCATTTGGTACTCCCTTTACTGCTGCAACTCGCAAACCTAGTAGGTGGTCTGCTGGAGTTGTTGTAGCCAAAAATGCTCATTGTCTGGTGGTCCACTTTTGGCGCTGGGCTTCTCCAGGATGAACTAGGCTGGTTCTTTTACTAGGCCTGTACTGGTTTAGCAGCACCTGCCCTACTTTGCATCCTGATGACATAACCTTATGGATCCCAGGGTCATTTCTGCACCATTATATGGCATCAGAGAAAGACTAATTTAGTGGATGCTTGCAAATGATAAGAATAGAGACCGGACCTGTGATTTCACTGGTGTAGGGGAACTTCCAGGGAGGAAACTCCTTCCACCTATGTATGTCATCACCCCTCATTCTTAAAGAGTAGCCTAGAGCATTTAAGAGTTCAGATGACTTGCCCAGGGTCACAAAGCCATCATGTCAGAAGTAGGACTTGTTTTGAATCCATCCTGGATCTCAATTCACTGCACCATGCTGCTTCATATACAACAGTAGTTAATGTTTTTTGATGAACGCCAAAAATAAAGGCACAGCAGTACTCTCTATCTTGGCACAGTATTAATAATAATCATAATCTCTTAGATTTATATGGGCCTTTAAAATTTACAAAGTCATTTCACATATATCAACCTTATTTGACCCTCAGATCTCCACTTTACAGACAAGGAAACTTGAGGCCAAACAAGATGAAGGAATGAATGGGGGGGGGACCCAAAAAACCATTTATTAAGAGCCAAGCACTATACTAGTTTCTGGGGATACAAATGGAAATTAGACACTCCCTGCCCTCTAGGAGCTCACATTCTACCTGATGGAGACAACGCGTAAAGGAGGATACAACTTCGGAGCAGATGCCCAGGGGTCAGCAGGGCAGGTGGTAAGGCCCAGTGGGCCAGAGGCTGCTGGAATGGCCCATTCCACAAACACTGGGAAACAGACAGTAGGCCTAATGGTCATAGAGCATCAAGGGCTTTGGCTTCTTTTCCTGAAGGAATGGGAATGGGAAAGGGGTTAGTGGACAGATCTGTAGGGCAATAAAGTGAAGAGACCGCAGCTTTAATACTTTCTGATACTTAATTCAGGTTCTTTTTGCTACACCGATGTCATCAGCCCCGGCCCCAGTGCCTGTTCTATACCACATCACCGTTGTTTTGATGATCTAAAGGACAGAGGCACGAGTCAGGGGGAAGTGGGAAGAGACTGTGATAGTCAGAGAAGGTTGCTTTCCTAATAGGTGATATAAAGGCCTTTTCTTCTGATCCAACCCCCCCTTAACCCCTTATCTCCTTTCCTATGCTACTTTCCCCATCTCTTCCATCTCCCCAAATCAGAATTCATCTGGAATTTTCTCCTTCCAGGTGTCCACCCATTCTATTCTTTTCTGTCCCTCAGAGCACTTAAAAACCAGTGCTAAATTAAAACAAAGCTCTTTCCTTTGAGGTTCCATCTTGAAAGATTGACATTTACATACATTATCATATTTGATTATCACAACAGCCTTGTAAGGTAGATACAGCAACTATCTCCATCCCCATTTTGTAGATGAGGAAACTTGAGACTCAGAGGTGATATAATTTGTAAACAGTAACACAGCTATTTAGTAGTATCAGAGGAGGCAATGGAACTCTGGTTTCATTGATTTTCAAGTCCAGCCCATTATCCTGTATGCCATGGTTAATTCTTAAATTCTCTAATCTAGCCATGTTTGGGGGCCCACAAAAGGAGTCAACCACCCTCACCCTCACAGTTTAGTTCACTCTTAGGTATACAGCCAAGGGTATTTCAGAGAGCTGAAAGTCTGAGAGGCAGAGAATGAATGGTACAGTTTTAGTTTGAAGGGAACCCAACTCATTGTTTGACCTTTTGGTGGGGTAGAAAGAGTACTGGATTAGGAATCCTAGCTTCTTTCAAATCACAGCTCAAATATTGCCTCTCCCATGAAGCCTTTCCTAATCCCTCCACCTGCTAATTTTTTTCACTCCTCAAAAAAAATATTACCTTGTATTTATTTTTTAATATACTTCCTTTGATAAGCTCCTTAAAGACAGACAAGGACTGGTTCATCTTTTGTCTTAGTAACCCTAGTGCTTATCCTAGCGCAGAACATCCTTTTAAGTAGGTGCTTAAAAAATATTTCTTGATTGAAGCCTGGATTTGACTCCTAGGTCTGCCACATGTGAGCCTTGTGACCTTGAGCTTCTCTGGACTTCAAGTTACTCATTTGAAAGTTGAGGCTTTTGGACTAGTTGATCTCTCAAGTTCCTTGCTGTTGTAAAATCTTATCTTTCCCTGTTTAGCAAGAAGGTTCTCTAAAAGGAAAATGGGAAGAAAGAGACTTGAGTTTTCCACTAGCTTTACGATGCTGCTTTTCAAAGCTGGTGACCAAATTCCTGAAGAATCAGATTTGCTTATCTCTAAACATCATGAGAATGGTTCCATGTTCCAGGCATGTATAGCACATGTCATTAGCACATATTAGCATATGTGCCCAGGGAATTGTATTTATTTTTTAGAGACAAACATTTATTGAATTCTCATTCATAAAGGATATATTTTATTCATCAAACAAACTAAAATTTAACTAAGCTCAATTTTTAAAATTAACAGCTAAACTTTAAAAGTACAAACTTTGCAAAGTGCTCCTTTTAATCAAACCCTTTCCCTTACCCCAAATATAGAATAACCTTTTTAGCCTTATCTTGTCTAAAAAAAAAAAAAGCACCACCTGGACTGTACCCCTGTTCCCACATTTTGCCTAAGGAGCAGGGTACATACATCCTTTTAAAGCTTAAAATTTTTCATATTTTGTCTTATTTGCCTGAATCAACCACAGCCCCAGAGTCCCACACTAAAACAAATTAGCCAGGCAAAGTCAAAGGGGAAAAAAATGTCTGATTTTTCCCTGACCTGGCTACAGGACATTCTAGGGGTGGGGAGGAGGGCAGATAACCATCTAATCAATCCTGATAGGGACATAAGCAGCACCATGAGAACAGTCCAGGCAACACCTCAGAGAGATTCAGAAGGAAGGTGGCAGAGGGGCTTCAGACTTCCAGGTGACCAAGTTACTAGATAAACCTGCATCTTCCTCCTGCATCAGAGAAGAGGAAGAAACAGGAGAAGCAGCAACAGCTGCAATAACCAGGCATTCCCAGAGATAGGGAAAGACACCCCTGTTGCTACAGGCTTCAGATCACAGGTGGCCCTATCACAGCAAGAGGCCCCAGTCATACCCCAGCACAGCCCATACACATGCCTATGTATCACCAACTTCTTTTTTGGACATCTCAAACTGGATGTCTCATAGGCCCCTCTCAAATTCAACAGAACCAAAACAGAACTCATTTTCTTTCTTCCCAAACTCTTACCTCTTCCCAACTTCCTTACTACTGTTTAAGACATCACCATCGTACCAGTCACCCAGGCTCATAACCTCAGTGTCATCATCCTTCACTCGTCTCTCCACATATTCAATCTATAGCCAAGTCTCATCATATCTACCTTCATAACATCTCTCTACTTATGTAGCCACCATCTTGGTGCAGGGGTTCTCCATCACCTCCAGCATAAACTATTGAAGGAGCT